GTGCTTCCGAGTCCCGGGGTCCGCGGGGCTCCCCGGGGCCCGCAGAGCCGCGACGCGCCCTCCCGCTCGGGTCCGCAGACGCTGCACGGCGAGAAGGAAGGAAGACGAGGGGGCAGCCTCCTGGGGAGAAGAGAATCCCGCAGCCCCCCATTTTAAACACCTGGACATCGAGATGGGGTGCTGCGGGCGCGCAGGCCCAGAGGCCCGGCCAGCGGGGCTGGAACCCCGGCTCCCGCGCTGACTGTGTTAGCCCTCGCGGCCCTCGTTTGCTCATTGTAAAATAGGGTTAAAATACCAGCTCAGGTGGGAAATAGTGCACGCGCACGCACCCCGCCCGAAGTGTCTAGTGAACGAGTGTTAACAGAAAATTTATTTTTCTGTTTCTCTCTTTACTTTGATCAAGTCTAGACTTACTTTTGGGCATGGAAACTTTACGCTTCGGCTTTACAAACCAGAGGTTTGCACTTTACAGAGCATTAGGTACCAGAATTACACTGTTTCCCTGTTGTTAGATGTGTGCCTCTTTAAATATTATAATACGCTGTCCTAAACATTTGGAGATATAATTCTCATACCATAACCTTCACAGCCTCCCCCCCAGGACTGAACCCAGGGCCACAGTGTAAACCCTGAACTGCATCCCTGATCACCACCTGTTTTTTTTTTAACATAAAACTTTGCTAAAAATTGTGAGACTGGGCTTGGGACTGCTCCTGACTCAGCCTCCCAGAGTGCTGGCATTACAGGCATGTGCCACCACACCTGGCTTAAATTCACAATTTTAATCCACCATGTAGTTCAGTCTGGTCTTGAACTCACAGCAGTCCTTCTGCCTTGGCACCCCCAAGAGCTGGGATCACAATCGAACACCACCATACCCGGCTGTGTGGAGTTTTTAGTGTTCCCAGGATTGTGCAACCGTCACTAGTACCTTATCTAATTCCATAAGTGTTATCTCTGCCCAAAAAAGCATGTGGTCCAGGGTTCCAGAGCTGAGTTGTTTTTCGGTAGCTCAGGGCCCCCAGGCACAGCCCCAGGGCTTCCCAGCAAGAGCTACCCTGCAGTGGGTGAAGGGAGGTGGAGCAGAGCACGCAGGCTACCCGCTGCTTACTGGCGCTCATAGGCTTGCTCTGGGCTAGGATTGCAGGACAAGCACAGGCCTGAAGGAGGGGCTGCTGAACCGGTCTGGAGGAGGAAAGAGGCCGGTTATGTGGGAGAAACAGCAAGAAGCCCAAGACATGCGGGAAAACTGCCTTACTGTGGAGCAAAACACGCTCTCCAGTGATCCTGCCACTTTGAGAGAGTGTAGCAGGAGGATCGCAAGTTCAAGTCATCTTGAGCATTTAGGGGAGAACTTACTAAAAATAAAATGTAATAGAAGTACTGGGGCTGTGGCTCAGTATAAAGGCCCTGAATTCAATCCCAAGTAACGCCCAAAAAAAAAAAAAGCGCAGGAGGGGGCTGGGGATTTAGCTCAGCGGCAAAAGCGCCTGCCTGGCAAGCGCAAGGTCATGAGTTCGGTTCCCGGTACCGGAGAAAAA